CAGTATTCCTGCTTTGTCCTACTGGTGTCTTCTCAGCCCCAAGCTCTCCCCCACTGAGGCCTCGTGCAGCTGCACACCCAAGTACTTCCCAAAAGGGAGAAAGGTCAGAGGTGTCATTATCCCCCAAGCACTTGAGATTCCAGCTGTGGAGAAATTAATCTGTTGGAGGTTCAGGCTGAGAACCCTGAGAAAGATCTGGAAAGGGAGAGAAACATACAAAAGAAAGAATCTACTGAGAGGCTCTTAAGAGATAAGATGTTCCAAATATCTGTGTAGATTTTTAAAGTGGAGGGTTGGGGGCAAAGATTAGCAGATTTGTAAGATGATGGGAGAGGTTAAATATCCACCCCCAACCTGCACCCCAGGGACAAAAAAGGATTCAAGGGATTTCCTTCAAATGACCTTTTTTGCATTACTGGGGACGAACAAGAGCTCTACCACTGAGCTACACCCTTGCCCAAATAACCTCTTTTCTTGAAAAAAGGAAGTAACAAAGCCACTGTATGGGGAAGAAATTTTGAAGTTAGAAGCAATACAGTACTTAAAAAAAAAAATCTCTTGAAGGCTTTTTTTCCAGTGTAGGGAGATAAAACAAAGTAGAAAACAAAACCCACCCAAGTAGAATCTAAGAGGAGGCAAACCACCAGGAGAACTAAAAGTCCTGTGAATAACCAAAGAAATGCAAAGGGTTTCCTTTCCAATTTGAATCCTGTGCCAGAAGGCCAGACAGGCCTCCACCTCCAACACAGGAAGAATAAAGGGGGGAATCTCTATAGCCACTCAATAAACAGAAGAGTGTTCAAAGGGAGTCAGAAACCAGAAAAACGCCTGGGCATAGGGCAAACAGAGAGAAGAGTTCCTGTTTGCAGAAAGATAAAAGATAAACCGGGCACATGCCTTTAATTCCAGTGACTCAGGAGGCTGAGGCAGGAGGATGGCAAGTTCAAGGCCAGCCTGGGCAACTTAGTGAAATCTGTCTCAAAACAAAAATAAAATTGGCCAGAGATGTAGTTCAGTGGTAGAGACTGTTTAGCATGCTGGAGCTCTGGGTTCAATCCCCAGTATTGTTTAAAATAAATAAAAGACATATGATGGACATATGAAAGGCAATTTTCAGGCACTACTTTAGGAGATGGACTCTGGGGTACAGGGGAACCTGGAGGGTAGGGTTCAGTTGGTGTGACCATAGGAAATGTGCTCATGAAAAAAAAAAATGGAAGCAGAAAGATAGTGCTGTGCTGAACAAAGGCATGCACTCACCAGAGGAAGAGGAAATGGGTGCACTGACCAGACTGGGAGAGCACCTAAAGGGGAATATGGTTCCAAAGAAGGAAGGAAACTGAGAAATGAAAATATCGTGGATGGCAAAAGAACTAAAAAAGGTATTAAAGGGGGGGAAGGGAGCCATGATGCTCGCCTATAACCCCAAGCACTCCTGAGGCTGATGTAGGAGAAGCACAAGTTTGAGGCCAATCCGGGAAACTCGGTGAAATCCTGTATCAAAATTACAGATAAAAAGAGCTGGGATTTAACTCCAGTGAAAGCTCCTGGGTTCCACCCCTAATATAGGGAAAAAAAAAAAAAAGTGGGGGAGGCAGGTAGGTATGCATGTATGCTCAAGAACCACAGATCACTCACCCCCAGAGTGGTGTGTTCATACATTTAGGGGATTCAGGAAGCAAACACAACTTCAGATAAGAAAATAAGTCTCCACCAGGTAGTTGGGGAACTCATAAAAAGGTGCAACCCAAGGACATAAGTGAAAGTGAATTCCCTTATTTGAGAAACTGGAAATATGTACCAATAAACATCAGGTTTTAGAGGGTTGAGAAAAGGACGCCCCCCCCCCCCCATTTAAGAAATTCTGGAAACAGGCCAGCCAGCAGGTGGCACAAACCTGTAAGTAATCCCAGAGGCTCTCTTGGCTGAAGCAGGAGGATTGCAAGTTTGAGAACAGGCTCAACAATTAAGCAAGGCCCTTAGCAATTTAACCAGACCCCTTTTCAAAATAAAAAATAAAACTGGCTGGGAATGTGGCTCTTGTGGTAAAGTGCCATTGGGTTCAATTCTCAGTACAAAAAAAAAAAAAAAAGAAATGAAATTCTGGAAACATATTGTCAGATTGGGTTCCTGGGAAGGTGATTTTTTCCTTGGAGGAGTTGTGGGACACAAAAAAGTCTTCCCAGCAGGCCCAATGGCCCAAATCTGTAATCCCAGTGACTTCAAAGGCTGAGGCAGGAGGACAGCAAATTTGAGGCCAGCCTCAGAAATTTAGCAAGACCCTGTCTCAAAAAATAAAAAGATCAGTGGTAAAGCACCCCGGGTTCAATCCCCAGTATCAAAATAAAAAAGAAAGTATCCCAAAACTTTGGTTTCAGGACCTCAGATTTGAAGAACCTGTTAAAGGGATAAACCCCCAAATTGAAAAGGGTGTACTCAGATTGAAGGCTTGAAAAAGGGAGGGCTCCCAGTTTGGGGGGCAAGGAGTACGCCCTCTGTATGGGGGGATTTAAAAACAGATAAAATCCCAGGGCTGGAGTTTAATAAAAGGGGTGGGCCGCCCAGATTTTCAAAACTATAAAGGAGACACTCCCATGATAGGGGTCTTGAAAAAAGGGGTGTGCTCCCAAAATGGGATTAAAGAGGTAATAAAAGAAAGCGTATTGCTAAAGCACAAGGCAACAGCAGGGGCTGGTGATAGGGCTCTCAGGGATCACCCAGCTCAGGTTCGGCCCTAGCTCTCACCCCCTCACCACACATACACACCCCCAATACGGCCCGCTCAGTGCCCGGGGCCAGCACCCCACAGCCCAGCCCCCTCGGGCAGCGCTCATTGGCCGAGGTCCCCATCACTCCCGCGGGCAACTCCGGGGATTGGGCGCCGCTCGCACGCCCGCCACGCTCTCATCAGCGGTCCCTAGGCCTCCCTCCGGGCTGGGGGAACGGGGCCGGGCGGGGAGTGGGGCCAGGCAGGGGACCGGAGCAGCGGTGGCGTCTTTCACCGTTCCCGCGCGCGCGGCGCGGGCCCGACCCGACCCAGCCTCGGCCAGCCGGCTTTCTCTTGCCGCGCCTCGCCGCGAGCTCACCTCACGGCTCTGCTCCTGCTGCGCCGCTCCAGGACCAACCGACAGAAGGACTCTGCGTGCTGCGCACCACGTGACCCCAGGGACGCGCCCAGCGTATCCCCCGCCCCCCACACACACGCACCATCGCCACCACCGAGTGACGCAGCGCCCCAGCTGCCCCGCCCTCAGCCCCGCCCCACCGGATCACCGGGGCGACGGCTCCTGCAGACCACGCCCACGGCCTTGACGCGCGGGAACCAGGCCTGCCCTCCGTCAGGAATACGAAGTCCCCACTCAGGTTTAACCATTAAGACCACGCAAAAGCCCGGGACCGGATACTACCCTTCCCCGGTTAATTTTGCCTTTTGCTTCTTTCCATAGCCCTGCCACCACTCCGGTCTAGGCTTCACCTCTCTCCAAGTTGGCCATGATCTCCACCCTCTTATTCTTTCCCCTTTCAATCCATACTTCACGCGGTGAGAGCTTTTCAAAATGTCATCCTCTGTTCCAAATCTGTTTCCCTCTCTCCTCCAGATTAAGATCTAAGTCTTCACCTAGATTTGCCAGGCTCTTCAAAGTCTGAACTTAACCTGCCTCTCATTCTGACACATCCAGCTGCCCTGAATTCTCAGTGTCTTTCAAGTCCTCATAGGAGTCAGTTTCCTTCTTACCTCAGGACCCTTGCTCCCATCCCTCCACTTTGTGTCATTAACTTCTAGGAAAATTCAATTGCTGTTGAAAAAAAAAAAAAAAAAAAAAACGGAGCTGTATTTTGTCTCCAAAGTCCAAGTTGCATGGACTACAAAAGATTCTGAGGTGTTTTCCCAACAGGACAAATACCAAGGAGAAATGCTAAAATTAGTGATTTATGGGAGCAATAACGACTGTATTTTACACTGAAAAGAGAGGGTAGCCAGATCGCACTTCTTAAAATATAAATCTAATCATGTCACTGCCCTACTTAAAACCAACCATCAATCAGTTTCTCCATCTGCAGCCTACCCCCTGACTCATCCTCTGACCACACTGACTTTCAATCAGGTTTTTTTTAATGTGTTGTTTGTTTTTAACTGGGAATTTAACCCAGGGGTGCTTTACCAGCCCCCCTTTTTTTTGGACGTATTTATTTTAATTTTGAGACAGTGTCTCCCAAGTTTGTTTAGGGCTTTGCTAAATTGCCTAGGCTGTCCTCATACTTGCAATTCTTCTGCCTCAGGCTCCCAAATCACTGGGATTACAGGCAGGCTCCACTGAGGAGGACTTTTCTGTCAGTTTCTATGGCTCTTTCCAGCCTCTAGGCCATTGAATTCCCTGTTGCTATTCATAAAACTGACTCTTCACAATGGAAGTTTCAGTTTATCATCTCCTCAGTTTATCATCTCCTCTCTTCAGCCACATAATCTAAAAGTGCTCCAATAAGATCACATACCCCTCTCACAGCAATTACTCTCTTCATTTTTCAACAGAGCCATTTACACAGTTTTAATCACTTCATGTTGTTTTTGTTCTGATTGTATTGCAAGGTTTAAAAAAATGGTTCCTCTTTTAGACTGGGAGTGCAGCTCATGAGAGTGTAGGCTTAGCATGCACAAGGCCCTGGATTCAACACCCAACACAAAGAAAAGAAAAGGAAAGGAAAGAAAAGAAAGGAGGGAGGAAAGGCAGAATGATTCTTCTTGGTTGTATTGGCCTACTTCCCATGATAAAAGTATAGTCTACCTTGTTTGCTTTTTGAATAGTGTGAATTTGCTTGCAAATAATAGATACTCAATGTGTACCTGTAGAAGGAACAAAAGGAAAGAAGAATAATTGAAAAAATTAGATTATCATTATAACCTGAGTCCACAGAAGAGATGCTTTTGGAATCACAGTTGGAGCTGGGTTTGGTGGTATACACCAGAGACTCAAGAGGCTGATACAGCAAGATGGCAAGTTTGAGGCCATCCTCAGCAATTTAGTAAGACTCTATGTCTCAAAATAAAAAATGTAAAGCACTGGAAATGTAGCTAGTGATAGAGCACCTCTGGGTTCAATTCTCAAAAAGTAAATAAAATCAAAATAAATAAATCAAAACTTGAGATAAAGAGAGTTCTTCAGCTGAGAGGGCAAAAGGGTAGCCCCTAGGAAGAGTTACTAGATAACCAGGGACAATGGGGCTGGGGATGTGGCTCAAGCGGTAGCACGCTCACCTGACATGTGTGCGGCCCAGGTTCGATCCTCAGCACCACATATAAAAAAAAGGATATTGTGTCTGCCGAAAACTAAAAAAAAAATAATAATAAATATTAAAAAAAAAAAACAGACAAAAGCTTTGGCTGTGCTCATTGGGTGGTATACATTCTAAAATTGTAACAATTCAGAGAAGATTAGCATGGCTCTTGCACACTGATAATATGCAAAAATAATATTTACTTTTCTTTCTTTATTTCTCTTTTTCTCATATTTTTTAAAAAGCATTTTGAGGACCAGAACCATTCATTAAAGTGCTCAAGAAAAGACCTTCAGGAGGGCTGGGGGTGTGGCTCAAGCGGTATCGCGCTCCCCTGACATGCGCCAGGCGCTGGGTTCGCTCCTCAGCACCACATACAAATAAAATAAAGATGTTGTGTCCACCGAAAACTAAAAAATAAATAAATATTTTTTAAAAAAGACCTTCAGGATACTCCAGGCTTATTAACATGAAATTGCTCACATATTAATGCCTATTGTAATATAGAGAATTTCTTGCCCCACAAACCACAATAATACCAAGAATCCCAGACTCTGTAGGCCCATACAAAATATAACATTTCCTGCATTTATTAGAGTCTGAATTGTGCTAGGCACCAAAGACCCAGAGCAAAATGAGATTTTAGGCCCTATTCTCAAGGAGCTCATAGCCTGGTAAAGAAATTGGCATAATTTGTAAGTTAAAATTCTTTTTGCCTGATACAAGTACAAGCATTGACACTGTTGCAAGTACAAGAAAAAACAATTATAGCTGTTCACTGGGGGCACTCCTATAATCCCAGTGAATCTGGAGGCTGAGGCAGGAGGATTACAAATTCAAAGCCAGCCTCAGCAATTTAGTGAGACACTGTCTCAAAGTTTAAAAAACTAAACTAAAAACCTGGGATTGTAATTTAGTGGCAAATGCCTGGGTTCCATCCTCAGTACTAAAAAAAGGGGGGGGGATTTATATTACAAGGATATTTATATTACAAGGATATTTATATTACAAGGATATTGGGGGCCTGAGCATCAACCAGAAATCAGACTTATAAATCAGACATAGGTACAAGGGCAGTTTAAGTAAGAACCTGCAGCAGCTGCTACTGGCAGTATTGTACACCACTGTTGGAATTCAGTCCCTTTGTCTTTAAGTCACTTGAGGCAAAGTTTGGCCAGCAGCCACTGCTGATTGGCCAATCTCAGGTCACATGAATGAGTCCATGCTGCCAGGGAAAGAAGAGAGAAATGATCTACCCATAAAGGATATTCCTCCAAATGGGAAAGGAGGGAGGATGGAAGGAGGCTAACGTTGACCAGGCAATAAACAAACAAACCTGACACGACACGGATATGAATAAAGTACCTTGATAGTTAATTTCTTTTTGATTAAGAAACCTGACTTGCCAGCTTCTTCTGAACTAGACATTAATAGACTGCTAACCAGAGAGCTGCAACTTACAAAGTTCTGTTTTTGTTTGTTTGTTGTTTGTTTGTTTGCTTGTTTGTTTTGTTTTTGTTTTAAACTAGGGATTGAATGCAGGGACATTACCACTGAGCTACATCCCCAGCCCTAAATTGTTGAAGCCGACCACAAACTTGAAATCCTCCTGTCTCAGTCTCTTAGTTTTGGGGATTATAAATGTGTACCACCTTGCCCAGTTTTACCTATGCCTTGTTAGTAGCATCCATCTTTTGCCTTAAGATCATCCATAGCATTTTACTAATATTTGGGTCTTGCCTTCCCAATTTTTAGGAGTCTTTCTTTGCATGAGTAGGCACTCAACTGGTGTTTTGAATGAGTAAATGAATGTATGAATAGCAGCCTCTAGAGAATAGAAACTCTCCTAGTCTCAACTATTTCAAAACTATAGTCATCCTAGCCCATAAAATGACAGCTCTACAACAAAACTCTGCATACACACAAGGCATATACTAACACAAGAAACATTCAACCCCTGCAGAGAAAAGTCCTTGAGTTCCATAAGCATTACTTTTTTTTCATATTCCCTTTTGGGGGCTGGGAATAGAACTTAAAGACTGAGTGCTTGCCTAGCATGCACTGAGGCTCTAGGTTCAATGCCCAGCACACACATTAAAAAAAAAAAAATTCACTTTTTTCATTCACTAGGATATCTACCCTGCTCAGATATTTGTCATGTTTAAGTTAGAGAATAAAAGCTGCAAAGTTCTACATAAACAATTTAATTGCTATCTTACTAGATTCAGGGTCCAATATATTTAAAATAATCCCTCTAAATAGAAGTAGAATTAAAGACCTAACATGAGATAGGACATTCAATTACGAAATGATTTTTCAGACCAGGGCTGGGGCTCAGTGGTAGAGCATTTGCCTTGCATGGATAAGGCACTGAGTTTGATCCTCAACACCACATAAAAATAAATAAATAAATAAAGATATTGTGTCCATCTACAACTAAAAAAAAAATTTTTTTAACGAAAAGGGCAGGAAGGGGAAAGGAGTGGGCAAAGGGATAGGAATGATGGTTGAATGATTTAGACATCATTACCCTAAGTACATGTATAAGACATGACGTGTGAAAATACTTTGTGTGTGAAATACTTTGTGTACAATCAATGTCTTGAAAAATTGTGCTCTATATGTGTAATATGAAATGAATTACATTCTGCCGTCAGGTATAACAAATTAGAATAGATTAAAAAATGAGGGACTAGGGTTATATCTTAGCAGTAGAGCGCTTGCCTCGCTATTGTGAGGTACTGGGTTCGATCCTCAGCACCACATAAAAAATAAATAAATAAGGGCTGGGGATGTAGTTCAGTGGTAAAGCACTTGCCTAATATGCATGAGGCACTAGATTTGATCCTCAGCACCACATTAAATAAATAAATAAAAGGT